ACGTTTCTTCTTTTATTGGTATAGGTTTCATTTAACATTTTTAAAAATATGTAATATGTATATATTCTTATTTTGTATTTACACATACACATATTTTGTAAATTTTTATAGAAATATTACAATTACATGGTCTTTAGATATTATATGTCGATTCAATCTTGGATCAAATTTTTAATTTAAAAAGGAAAATATTAAGGAAGGAAGGAAAGAAAATATTGTGGAAGTATATTGATTTTCTTAAGTGTAAAAAAAATTAAATTAGGATATTTTAAAAAACACTCCAAGATCGTGATTACTTTAAAAAATTAATTTTTCATGGTAAAAATTTCGGAAGCAATAAATACAATTTAATGGCATTAGAAAGTAAACGGTATACCATTATTGTTATAACAGTACCTTTATTGAGTTGATTAATGAAAGTTGGAGTTTACACTTTTGAAGTTTTTAAATATTCGAAAAATTTTATTAATCAGAGAAGGATATTATTATTGTTTAAAGTAATTTTGTTTGATTAGTATACATAAATTCTTAACACAGAACAACCACTTTAGTTCTATAATAAAATGAAACAGTGTCTGATCGAAATTAGTGGAAAATGTTTCAGTGTATTTGAATTAGTGAATAGAATAAACCCTCTAATGCCATGTTTCCCAATCAGGTTCTCGCGAGAATGCTAAAAAGATGCCGTTGATTTTTTTTCAAATTTACGGGTACATGTTCTGCCAGCCCTGTACTGAAAAATATACGAAAGTTTCGTGGTATTTGTGTGTTCAAGAAAAAAATAACTCGTTTTCAAATATGATAAAACAGAATCTCTTCTGATGCGGCAAAATCAATTCAAATATTAGCAACATGATGCAATATGTATTACGTCTCGGATTGTAAACTATTGCAAAAAAAATATTTCTACTTCTTCCCTATCTGGAAAAGGTTGAGAACAATTGTATTAGCGCTATTGATAAAAAAATTATTGATAATAGTTTTTAACAAAAAAAAAAACAAAAAGCGTTTGTTTGTACACAGTTCAGTTAAAGGCAGTTTTATTACAGAACTAATTCGTTTGCATTAGAGGACTCATTCGTCATTCGGTTGAAATTTTTTTTAAGTTTGTAATAACGGAATATAATCAAATATTTCAATTAATCATTGTATTTTGAATTTATCGAGATGGTTATCTAATTTCTCAGGACTTGGATAGCGGTCTTCGTTAAACTTAAATATAAATTAAACTAAATTAATAATTTCAATCCTTAGCCCCTCTTTATAAGTTATATTTTAAAAATATCCAGAAATTTGCAATATTTTCTAAATTTTCTAACAGGATAGCAACTTTGATCGGATCAGATGATCTACAATTAAATTTTAATATACTTTTCAACCTTAGCTTTAATATTTTTAACCTTAATATTTTTTTTCAATATATTACAATTATAAACGAATAGAATAAAATAGCGTATCAACTGTTTTTAACAATCGAATAAATACAATTTTGTATCGAAATCAAAAGTATCGAATGGAATTTAAAGATATGGTACAACTCAAAACTTTTAATAGATCTTTGATAAATTCATTTTTTCTTTTTTGAAAATCCAATAAAAATATTCAAAAATTAAAATATCGTTGTCCTTTTCTTACCTTTTTATTATGAATATAATTAAAATTTTAAAATTACTGTTATAAATTTTGCATTTAGAGTCCAAGTTGTATGTACGTGTTTATATTATTTATTCAAAACAAAATAATTTATTGATCAATTAATTAATATTAATTGAGTTTTTCTTTTCTGTAATCCTTGAAATAATTACAAAAAATACAAATTTATTTTCAAATTTTAAATAAATGTTTTTCTATATTTTTTTTTTTATTGTATCCTTTTTATATTCTTTTTAATTGTCTCGCCATTATTGATACGATTACAAAATGTACATATACATGTACATTAATTATTGTCCTTTAAAATGATTTCTCTAATAATAAGCTTTTACTCCTTACCTTAAATACATAAAAAAAAAATGAAAAACGAAAAATATAAAATTTATATAGAATAAATTTCTAATTACTATTCGTATTTTATTCAAAACGACAAGAAAGAAAAAAGGACTTTAGAAATTTCTTAGAAATCAAACACAAAAAAAAAATAAAAGAAAAAAATAATAAAATTACAACTCATTAATTGTAATGATGGTCCTTCAATATTAAAATGAGGTTATTTAAAAAATATTTTTTCTTAGTATCCTTTAAGGATTATTTAAATTTTGTACAATTTGTCGACCATATCTAAATTTAAATAAATAAAACAATTTGTTTTGTTTTTTTTTTTTTTTTAAACAATCTTTTCTTTTCTTTAACCTTTCGAAAATGAAGAAAATAAGAATGGGATGCATTTACAATAATATTAAAAGAAATTTGAAATTAATTACTTTCCAGTGAAGAGAAAACCAAAAATAAATACGTTTAGGTAAAATTTTCATTGAAAAGATCTTATTTTATTTCATTTTTTTTCAAAATAATATAAGCTCCTTAAATAAAGATATTCTGTCCAATAAATTGAGTAATTAAAAAAAATGATAACAATAGGGTAAATATTTACCCTTTCCTTTTAAAGTGCTTGTAAGTAAAATAAAATTAAAAATTTTTTGACAATTATTCCTTCGATTTGGGGTTTAGAAGAAGTTGCTTTTTTTAAATGAACATGAAATTAAAAAATTTTTAATTTCGTGAGTGCCTGAAGACATTTAATTCTAATTTGCAATTTTGTATAAATTCGCAAAATCGCAGACATTTTGATATTTAAGAAAAAAAATAAAAATAAAATCGGATCGAACCATTTCTTTTGAATAATAAATACTTTCTTTAAAGGAAAACATCCTGAGCTATCAGCAAAACATGCTATAGCTACCCGCAGTCTTAGTAAAATTTGATTTCAAATTGCCAATAATCCATTTAAAGTGAACTTAAATTTTTGTTTTTCCCATGACTAACCTCTTAATATTCTATAAGTAAGTGCATTGTAAGCTGATTTCTATAATAAAATTTAATCGAAATAGTTAATTAAGAACATCGGCAATGTATTTATAACACTTTGCTAAAAAATTTAAACTACTACTAAGTATTTTCTTTGTCTGACTCTTAATATGTACTAAAATATCTTAAAATATAAGTTTTTCTAATCCTTAATAATGACGTCAATACCATCGTCAACTAGATATTGAAAAAAATTAAAATATAATTTTGATAGCAACGTAGTCAACCATTGAACTTTATTTAGTTTTCTTCTTTTGTTTTCTTGGTTTCTTCTTTTGTATTCTTTGGCTCTAATCAAACGAAAATAGCTTTGGTTTCAAAATGCATTTTATATTTATTTACTGTGCTGCTTAAACATTTTATGTTCAAATTGTTCAAATAAGAAGATGTTACATAATAATATTGTCTTGCATGGTTGCTCAGAATTCTTTTGATTAAATGTTAATTCTATATTCTTTTTCTTTTTACTGCTATTTTTAAAATATTTACCAAAAAGTATCTTAGATAAAAACTACGTCATAGATTAGTTGAAGACCTTTTCTTTTAAAAAAAGCAAATATAAGAATATGGGTGACATTTAGAAATTGATAAGTTATATTGGTTACGAAATTCTTAAGTGAAAATATTTTAATAACTTCTTTTCCAGTATTTTGATTTTGGTCATCTTTATGTATGGTTATAGAAGTAGAAGCCAGTTTGGGAATCTTATTTGTTATTTATCACAAATTTTTTATATAACAGTTCAATTTTTAATTTTGAAATATATAAATGGACAACATGAGTCTTTATAATCACTCTGTATGAACACTGATGAGCTCGAGTCCTAATATTACCAAAGAAAATTTTCTCACTTAATTTAGGGCGCAGGTAGACACAGAATTTTTAGTTTTGTACATCTTTGCAACAACACTATTGCGTCAATTTAGGTCGATTTTGTTATTTGAAAATTGCAATTAGTTTGTAAAAAATTACAAACTGTTTGATTGCTCTTAATTGCATGCGATTATACAGTTGCATGTGTGCACGCTTGAATATAAAACTATGGAATTCAAACATTTGCGAAACTAAAAATTGTATGTCTTCTTCAGCTTTTGGAGCACGTGCCTACACTGCTCATTATGCATGACAATATTTTAAATACAAACATTATTTCATTTGTTTTGAAATTTAACCACATTTTTAACCACATTTATTCACAAAATGCTTTGGCTTTGTTGAATGTTAAAAATTGTACATATTTGCTTTTATATTGGAACTATGCCACTATATTATGCTTTTCTTTATAAAAATATTATGTTTATTGGTTTATTTTGCAAATATAAAAGATATTCTCTTAAACCCTGGAAACCTTTATTTTTTATTTCATCATTTTTTGTTTTGTTACTCTTACATTCTTTGGTAGATCTTTATTTTTTATGAAATTCGTATATACATATGCGTGTATCTTATATGCAATATCATAAGAAAAAGTAGATTTTTATGTTTAAATAAAATGCCACTTGTTCTTTGTAATTTTACACATAAACACACCAAAGCACACAATAAACAAAATATATAATAATAAAAAAAAAAATGAAAATGTTTTTTTAAACGCGAAATTAAACGTAACAAAATAATAAAAAAAAATATCTTTACTTTCTTTTCATCTTTGGATACAATTTGAAACCATCAAAATAATAAAAATTAAATAAAACGAAAATGAAACAAAAAAATGGAAACGAAACGTAAAAAATTAAATCGAATATTTTAAATAAATTGAATAAAAAATTAAAATGAAATTCATGTCCTTGCTGAAAATTACTGTTTTAAACGATTATCGTCATCATTTGAAAATTTTATATGCAATCGCATCATCGCTATTTGATGATAAAAATTTCACTCAATTCTACATTTGGGATTTAAAATGAATTTTGGTGTATTTGGTTTTTGCATATGTTTTTTTTTTTGGGTGTTTTGTTTGTTTAACATTGTCATAGTATGTCTATGTTTTTCTTCCGGTTACATAATCTTCAGCGTGCTGAAGAAAATAAACGCAAAAAACGTATTGAACGTCAACGTCAGAGACGTGGCGCTAAAGTTTTTCGATGTGTTAGCGATTCAACTGGTCATTTAACATTAGCGCCATCGAGACTCTTTGAGAGGACTCCTATGAGTCCATCTGATAGCTTGGATGAAATAGCATTACAAATACCAAGGTAAGTTTTATTTTATGCAAATATATTTTGAATTTTTTTTGGAGTGTACGAATTGAATTTGTTATAAAAATAATAGTTTTGTATTACTGAATTAAATATTATAGCAAAATATTGAATATCATCTTGCAGACTTAAATAAAAACTAAACCTTTAAATTTAAAAGATTTCATTTCTAAAATGGAATTGGACAATTGAAAATTGGAATTTTTTCTAAATTATGTATATATTCTCACTTTTTTTGCAGTGTATTCCTAACAAGAATAAAAACTTAGGGTTAAAAACTAAAATGGGGCAAGAATTGAATAGACAGAAAAAATTGTTCAAATAATTTCCAATTAAAATAAAGAAAAAAATTTATGTTTTTAATTGTTGACAAGCTTATGTCAGATGTTGCATTTTAAATGGTTATTGTGCGTTGTAATTATTTTTATTGAAACATTTATCTTAGACTACAAAAGGTTGTCTGTCCAATAGCTTTTTCTTCTCTTCACATTTATGTTTAGTAGAATGATATTAACCTGGAAAAACAAACTCGATTTTTCTATTTTTTGACAAAAGACTTCAAAATTTATTTTCGTGCTTTTTAGCAATCTAATTATAACATTAGGTACTTACTTAATTTTTTCAAACAAAAATTTAATTTCCGGAAACCGTGAATCCCATTAAAATTTCGTATACAAATTTTCTTTTTTTTTTTAAAATTATATTTGTTTAAGAATGAAAACCACGAAAAATTTTAATTTTAGAAAACGGAAATTAAATAACCTAATACACGCCGCGTCCGGCCATTCGTTACAAGTTTAAGAATTAAATATTTTCATTCAAGTTCTCTGTGCATTTCTGTAAAGACATACTGTTAAACTTATAATTTTTTAGCAACAATGAATGAAAAAGAAAACAAAATACTTGTCAAAAACTTTTAGAAAAAATTGGCTTAGAGGTGAAAAATGACTCAATCATATTAAGAATCACATAAAATTTTATTTATAAAAATTAACACTATGATTTTTCTTTAATAATACTTCTTCATATTAGGTCCTCTTGTATATTTACAAAATACATTCAGTTTTCAACGATAAATAAACAAAAAGAAAAAAAAAATAAATAAATTTATTTAGGAATTACATGGGTTGTTGCCCCATTAAAAATTTTGTCACATAATCATAAAAGAAAACAAAAAACGTTTAAACATGTTGCTATAATCATAATATGAGCTATCTAAATGCCATTTCGTGAAGACTTCCCGATTCTTTATCAAAATTTTCCATTATATATATTTACGAGTATATTATAATATAATATTATAAAGGCAGGAGTTTGACATGATTTACAACTTATATAAGTATATAAAATTATAATGCCGAAGTCTATACATGTACTACGTATGTACATACATCCTTCTGATGCCATAATTCATTTGAAAATGTCAAGATTGTTTTTATTTTCCTCTTTTTATTATAATAATCATGATGTCACGTATAAAGTCCTTCTAAATATTGTTTATACGCTCGTATACAATGCAACATGTCATATCTCTAATATACAATGAAATAGTCTTGTTCAAATTATTTGTTAATGGTTAATGTCATTTGTGTTAACATCTTTCTTTACTCTAGATACCTACAATAAATAAACATATTAAGTAATATACATAATAATATTCGTAGGTATACACATATGGTATATATATTATGTTTGTAATTTTAGTTTGGAACTATAATTATTGTTTGTTATACAAAAACTACGTACAACACTTCACTATTCTATTAATAATATTACTCAATGTTAACAGGATATAATTTAAGTGCCTATATAAAGTCATAAAATTTTATTTTTAACTTTTGAAAATTTTGCAAAGTAAACAATTTATATCGGACGTATCAAAAAGAGGTGGCTATAATGGCTCTTATTCAGTGTGTTAACTAAACGTATATCAAAATTAATTGTAGTGATTTAAGAAATTCCTTGAAATATTAAGATAAATTTCGGATTCATTCTGGCATTTTAATTACGAAAATTAATATAAAGTGCACTTGAATAAAATAAAAGTACGAAAAACGTGTTTGCCTATTCGTAGTGCTAATAGTAATAGTTTCCTACTGAAATCCTACTAAATATGTTACTAGTTCAAATTTTTAAAAGTTTTTAACTGGCTTAAAATTTCTCTTCTAGGAACTTTTGATTTAATTTTTATTTTTGCAATTTTAAAATGCGTATAGTCTCAGCAACCCTATTATATTATGTAATAATATTTTAACAATGACCAACATAAATAAACTGAAAGGCGGGAAAAAAACAAAACGCATTTATACAGGAATACTTTTATTGCTCTCTTAATGGAGGTAAAAATGTCACCTCGTTTGATATTTATAGATGTTATTTCATATTTTTTTTTTGTAACGTTTTTGTACGTTTACATTGTATTTTGTCACCTTAATAATTTGCCTAAAAAATAAGAAAAAAACATGAGACCTTAAAATTACATGGAAAGGACCCTATTTTTTTGTTTCTGTTTTGGAATTATTGTTGAACATATTTTTGTATTTTATAACAGTTCTTAATTTCGTTGCAAAATAATGATGAGTTTTTATAAAAAAAAAGATATTACCTAGTTTTCATGTTTTTTCTCATATTCATAAGTAAATTGTCAAATTTTATGTTGGAGAATGTGTTTTATGAGGATTTTATTTCAATATCTCTAATTAGAAAGCTTTCAATTCAATTTAATTTGCTTAAATTTTAGTCTAAAGGTAACGGAATTTCCAAATTTTCACCTTGCTACATAAAAATTTCAAATTTTATAAATTATAGTCGAATTTTATAATAACAAACCCAATATTCAAAATATTTTTAACTATTATCATTATTATTATGTAAAATTTCCCACAAGGAGGAATTTAAAATATTTTTCGTTGACTATTGCCTTCTAAAATAAAATTTTTGATTTGAGAAAAAATCAATAAAGATGCTTTTGAATTAATTTCGCATATTCGTGTTGGCTACTCTGTTTTAATCGGAAAATAACATTGCGTACGAACAATATTGATATATACGTCATTCTTTAAAGCATTTACTTAATTATTTCATTATTTTTTTTGGTAAAATGGTAAAATTTCCTTTCACATAGTTAGAAATTTATAAAATCAACAGTTCTTTTATTCAACTCTTTTCTTCTAATGTTCGTTCAATTCAAAAATGAAATTTCCTATATGTTATTAACATGCAATTTTTATTAATAAAATTTAACATTTAGTTTAAGTGTAATGAATTATTACAGGCTTATAAATTGTACTAATAGAATAATTACAACAAAATTAACACAATTTGATTGATTACAAAATTTTAAGGACTAAACGAATATAAATTACAGAATGAATTAGCACAAATTTTCAATTTATTTGATATTTCCGATTATATTTACTAATCTAATTTCCGTAACCGGTTTATATGAAATTTGGTGTACTTAAATATAAACATGTAATTTGTCGAAAAGGAAAAGTTGGTTAATTATGTTTTTATTATTATTTTCTCGAAATTCAATTGAAGAAAATGATTTTAGTTTGAAAATTATAAAATGTTTGAGAACATTTTCTGCACTATAACTAAATAAATTGCATTTTAATTAAGCTGAGGGCAAAGAAATGATTTAGAAATAATTTATTTTTATAAAACAATATTTTAATTTATCTATTCTCTTAATTCAATTTAATTAATTGCATACTTTTAGGGGAGAACAAAATTTAAAAAAAACTTTTACAAAAATACTAATTTCAGTTTTTAATTATGATCATATGAGTTATGATAAATAACAAAATGTTTGTTGATGGGAAGATATTTTCTCTACCTCACTACCCAGAGCCAACCATTACTTTTTTTATTGAAAGCTTATTACAAAATTTTATAACATCAGACACCCGTTGGTTAACTGACGCAACTTCTGGTAGCTAATACTCGTATTGCTAAAAATGATCCGACGGTTTGTTTCTGGTCAGGCGTCAAGGGATGCCAGATGTGTTGAGCAACTTCGGTGCCTTCGTATTGATATGCCCCTTCAATTTAGCAACGTGCTTTATCGCAAACTTTTTAATTTCGTCGATTTAGTATGAACATCATATTATGGATGATCTGAAAAAAAAAAACAAAATATTGTTACACGTAACCATAAAATATGCATTATTCGCTGGAAAATTCTATGTCACAGTAATTAATTCAATTAATTATCCTTCTCATACCTACATATATGCATACATATTATATACAATTTTTATTCCAATGTATACATTTTATTCGAATGTGTAATTAAATTCATTTTTCTATTTTAGCATCTCCTTTGGAAACGCATAGAAATTTCATGTATCTAGTTATATAAAACAACCTAGTAATTAATATTTTCCATGCTTATGCACGTGCAACAAAATTGCAAATGAAGCGTTATAGAATTTAAAATTTATAATTAATGATGATGTTTTCACATTTAGCAAAAAATGCTAAATAAATAATAATTACGTTCAATTACGATCCTTTATATAAAAATGAAGATTTGCATAAATTAATTAAAAAATGTTGTTATTCAATTTACAAATTATAGATGAACCAAATTTTCGCACAAACTACATTTTTGTAATTGCCTATAATTACTCAATTTGAGCTTAATTGAATTTAATTAACTTAAATTATTTTGAAAATTTACAATTCCTGTTTATTGTACTTTAATTTACAAAGAAGTTGAAGTAATAATATAGTTTTAAAACTGTTTCCCTTATTACTAGTCTTGCTTATTAAATATTTAAAATTTTATTATAAAAATACATTGTAAACATACTAATTTGTATTTATTCTTTTATTTCTTTACAGGTAAGTTAACAATTTTTCAATTTCTTCTACAAATTAAGGTGAGAATATAAGATTACCTTTTAAAATCTAAATAATGACCAAAAGAATCTATTATATTAAACAATAAGGTTCCTAAAATAAAAAATACATGTAAGACTTTTCAAATT